TTTTTTTTATTCTTCATTTCTTAGCTTAACTTTAGTCTTGAAAAAAATTTACTTTGTGAATTGGGGTCTTAAAAATATCGAAGTTCTGAGGATGCAGTGACAGGGCTCGAATAAGTTTTTTGTTCTTTGAACAGCTCCCCAAGATTGTATTGTGTGTAACAATTTCTTTTCCTTTCTTGTTCCCTTTTCTTTGGTAAAATGTTATTAATTAGCACTTATGTAGTGGTGATTACGAATTACCTTAAACTGGAGTGAACCCCATTTCTCAGATCTGACAGATTGGAGGTTTTATGGCTTGAGCCAGCTGTTTTTCCTTTTCTCTCTGTGGCATTTTTGGAAATTTTAAGGTTTTTGCATAATCTTGGCACTTGGGTTTAAACTTTTCTATTAGAGAAGGCATAACCTATAGAATCTCTTGTTATCTTTTTTTAATGGCAATCTTGATTTTAGATGTCAATGGCTTTATTACTGTAACCTACAAAGCTTTTGATGGCTTTGCCAAGATTTTGTGTATTAGGGATCAAAACCAGTATCTTGTCATATTTTGGCTTTAACTTTTCACTTTGCTTCTCTCTCTCTCTCTCTCTCTCTCTCTCTCTCTCTCTCTCTCTCTCTCTCTCTCTCTCTCTCTCTCTCTCTCTCTCTTAAGGATTTTAATTAAATTTGTATATACCTAATGAAATTCTTGTATTCAGAGTTCTGCTTGTAAAATTACATGTGGCTGATCATTGATAAAACTATGACCTTGTACTGAAGAGTATGTGAATACTTTTACTGAAAGTTGCATATTTTTTTGTGATTTATATTTTCAGGAAGAGGCATCTATAACTGCAAGTCTCATTCTCTAACCACGACCTTTTTACAGTCTTTCTGAGTGCTAAAACGAGTAAAATCGTAAGATGTAATACAATGCAACCGAGCATGAATCCTGGAACCTCACGGCACGAACAGAGCTCAACTCTACAGCAAATCTTGATTGCCGATTACAGAAAAAATCCACTGACACGAACAGGGAAAATAACCGAATCATCTCAAGAAAAGCGAAAGGTTGTTGGACATTCGTTCGGCCAGCCGTACCTCGACACAAAATGCGAATCGGAACAAAGTATGGGAACCGAGAGAGTGGGCCCACCCAAACACTCACATAGTGTCCAGAAGCCTCGACTCGGGATTAATAGATCACTTGATGGTGATGGTGATAATTTTGATGATGATAATGAGCTCGTCAAGTACATGTCAAATTTACCTGCCTTTCTCCAGCACATGGAGAAGGGACGTAGTAACGTTCAAGACAAGGCGCTGAATTTTGGTGTGCTCGACTGGAAGCTTCTGGAGAAATGGAAGTATAACGAGCGCATGCCCACTGGGAAATATCCTCAAAAGGGATCATCATCAAGCAGCAATATTCGGATAGGCCGAGACCCGATAAAGCAGTCATCTTTCTCACATGGTTCTCGATTTGGTTCGCCCAAGGAAGAAAGAAATGTGAGTCATCATCACCAGGGTGAAAAATATGTTGAGCTCGTTCGGTCTAATAGAGGAAAAGAAACATGCAATCGAGAATATCGAGCTGACCATTTTCATCAGAGAGCCAAGTCTTATGGGGAGACAAATGTGTGTAGCAGCAAGAGGAAAGATTTAAAGAAGGAGATTTTGTCAAAAGAAGAAACTTTACAAAGCAATAGTTATTATGCTCATGGGAAAAGGAAGGTGACGAGGTCTGGTGAAATAAAATTAAAGCCGAGTCATTTCGAAAGAGATGAATCTAAGACATCTCTTGATGATGTGCAATCAGCAGAAATGGTGGGGACTCGATTATCTGATTTTTTCTATCCTCAAGAGCTGAAATCTGGTGAAATTAACCTGAGTGCATCAGAAAGTAAACATTCATTGGCACATGAAGAAAACGTTAGCAGCCCATCTTCTTTTCTCGAGTCGTCTTCTGATAAAAATCAACAAACCGAATATGCTAAAACTCTCGCTCCAAAAGAAAGTCCCCCCTCACCCACCCGTCGTTTTAGCTTCCACTTGGGGAGGATGAGCAAAAGTCTTAGCTTCAAAGATAACTCTGCAGTACCTCAATTGAGTTCAGAATACACGAGCATCAAATCCGGCCCGGTGAGGCCCAAAACCTCCTCTGGCCCAGATAATAATAATAAACTCAAAAGTGACTGCAGCCGAGCGAGATCCAGCCCGTTGAGAAGATTGCTGGACCCACTGCTGAAGCACAAAGTGAACCACCCAGCCGAGCCCGTTTCCATAGGCCTGTCTCAAGATCGGAAGCCCGAGAGACCCACTACCACTACTTTATTAGCTCTTCTGCAGATAACTTTGAAAAACGGGCTTCCTTTTTTTAAACTAGTGGTCAACAGTAGCAATGAGATGTTAGCTGCTACAGTGAAGAGGCTGCCGGTATATGGGAAAACCAATTCTTGCATGATGTACGTGTTCTATTCCGTTCACGAGGTTAAGACGAAAAAGGGCATAAGCTGGATTAATCAAGGCTCGAAGAGTAATAAAAAAAGCTGCAATCTTGGATACAACATTGTTGGGGAGATGAAAATTTCGAGCTCGAGCGAATGCGGTTCGAAGGAATGCGTACTTTACTGTGTTGAGAATGAACCTGAAAAGGAACTTGCTGCTGTTATTGTTGGGAAAACAGGTAAACAGACGGAGCGTGAGGAAAACAATATGAACGATAATGGTGGCACTGTTGTAATTCTTCCGGGTGGAGTTCATGGCTTGCCGAATGAAGGTTTTTTACCCTCGTCGTTGATTAGCAGATGGAGATTCGGAGGGTCGTGTGATTGTGGAGGATGGGATATTGGCTGCACGCTTCGTGTACTCGTTGACTGTAAAAAAACAAGTAGCCATTGTCTTCAATCATCAGAACCGAGCTCTAGTATCGATTACATCAATCTTTACTCAGAGGTACTTTGTTTCAAACTTTAAATATTTCCAGAAAGCAAAAATGAAAAAAAAAAAAAAAAAAAAAAAAAAAAAAAAAAAAAAAAACTATATTTTTGAGTTATAAAAGCACTTAATATATGTTCTTTTTATATTGTTTATTTACAGGGTGGAGAAAAAGGGAGCAAGCCTGTTTTCACAATGAAGCCATTTAGCAATGGGTATTATTCAATCGAGCTCGATGCATCGATTTCTTTGCTGGAGGCATTTGCCACTTGTGTTGCGCACGTGACCTGTTTGAAATTCGCTGAACTTACGGATGCGAAAAGCTCGGGTTCTCAATATTTACCCGAGGCATTATTAGCCGAAGCTGACAAAAGGAAAACAACAACTGTTACATGCCCGCCATTATCTCCTGCCGGAAGGATTTAAATAAATGCACGAAAGGCTTATGATATTTCGAAGTACTGAGGCCGCTGCATATATATCTCGAAGAGACTTATGTTGTTGCCAAACTCTGCATCATATTCAATACAGGATTTCGGAGAAGAAATGGAAAATGATGAGTACTGATTTTTTTTTTTTTCCTTTTTTCAGAAGCACCTGTTTTTTAGTTTTGTAAAGATAATTGCTCTGCAGAGCAGAATAGTTATGTGATCTCTCTGTAATAATTTTTGCTGCTGGTGATGTTTAGCTGTGTAAAGTAGATAGGGAGTTGTTTTAGACAGCTCCATCGTTTTGGGCTTGGGCCGTTGGCTCATGTGGAAAGTGGGCCTGATTGTTGGAAGTACAAGAACAGGCTTTATTAGTATCTGTGGTTGGCTTAGAGGGGTGAACAAGAGAGCCCGAACTCCGAATACTCGAGTTTGGGCCCATGCATTTATCGAGCTCGCTTCTCGATACTCGGGGTTCGAGCTCGATTTATTTGTCAATATTAACAAGTGTAGTTCGAGTGTTAATGGATCGAGGCATCGAGCTATAAAACTTACAGAAAAAATTATATTTCTTAAATTTTAGCGAATCAAGTTTGAGCTGATATCAAGGATTACAATGTCTGTAATTTGGGATCACATATTTTGAAAAAAATTCACATGAATAATTATTTCTTCAAAGTCAAACAAAAGGAACATTTCATGGCAGCCTACGACTATTACAAGGCACGAACATGATCAAAGCGTTGACCGTTTGAGTTACGTGGTATAAAATCACAAATACAATTGGAATTAAAATTGAAATAAAATTGCCATTAGCCAACCAAATATAGAAAAGTCAAAACGCAAGACTATATAATAAATCACAAATTTTCTTCTTTTGGGTGCGTGCGTGCGTGCGAGCAAATTATATTAAAAAAAAAATAACAAAAGAAGAAGAAAATAAGAATGATTAGTTGATTATATACTCCATGCTTTTGTGGGTTGCTTGATGATATCAGTTGACGGAATTATAAAAATGATTTAAGTCCACATGAAAAAAAAAAAAAACTAGCATACAAATAAGTTCTCGATATTAGAATATTCACTTATAAGTATAGGCCTAATTTATTAATCAAACTAGTGTTGTTGCCTGCGCACTTGCACGGAAATACTTATATGATTTATTTAATAAGTAAAAAAAGGTTGTGATGTACTATAACAAATAACCATAGTATATCAATGAAAAATTATATACATTAATATATATATATATATATATATATATATATATATATTTTAATTTTTGCATAGTAAAATCATCAAAGAAATTTATGAAATTATGTCAATCAATATTTAATTCACCTGGAATAAGAATCAAAATAAAAGGTTGATCTGAAATTATACATCCTCAACTGCATTTTGGAGTGAACTTAGTGATTGTTGCACATGCGACGACTTTATATTTTTTGCAAAAATATTAATCATTTCTTAAAAATGTATGCTCGACTTAATGATTTTTTTTTTTAAAATCTGCAAAAAAATTTCCTTGATAAATGATTACTACAACAAAAAATTCCCACAAAGTAGTTAACTCACAATATTGTGTGCTATAGTACAACTTGACATCAAAAAATAAATATAATAATTACATAAGAAACAAATTGAGAGCAAATTGAAACGAATTGAGAGCAAATTGAGAAACAAATAATTCATTCCAATATATTTAACAAAAATAATTACTATACAAAAATTTATTTTTTATATTTATCAACTGTCCAGATCTAAATCAGTTAATGCAACTGGGAAAATTATATAGTCTCTTTTGTAACTTTAATAAACAAAAAATTTATATAAGAATTAATATATTGAAATTGAAACTGCTTATAATGCATTCATACATTTTTAAGAAATATAAAGCAAACAATGAAACAAATATCTAGAATTTCTCCTCTTAGTATTAAGGATGTTTGACAACTTTTACGGAAACTAAAAAAAATAAAAAATCATTGCATTTTCCATATGAATATTTATTTAATCACGGTAGTCAACAACAACAAAAATACATACTAAACTCTTTTTTCTAAACAAAAAGAAAAATTTAAAACGTAACTTCCAAATAAAATATTAATAAGCTTGTAAGACGTGGCAACACAGTTAAATCTCTAAAAATAGAAAGTTTGTTGTAGGACCCACTAAAATCTTACTAAAAATAGAAAGTGAGTTGTCTAATTATATAGTAGATAGATGGTCTACTCAATTCACCAATTAGTTTTGAGATGAAACCTCACTTGAACTTCATGTGTTTTCCCTATTTATAGTGCGCATCACGTGCGTGGGACCGCACTTATTTTTTTCTCCGTTTCTTACATGATATTAGAGCCGGTTCACCCAGCCCAATTAGGCGTGGGGCTCATATGAAACCGTGCAATGATCCCAGCTCAGTTGGGCTTGGGCATCATATGAAGGATTCACAAGTGAGAGGACGTGTTAGAATATGAACTTGTGAGTTGTCCCACATCGTCTATATAGGGAAAATAGGTCCAACTTATAAGTGTGCTACATCTCCTTTCACCAATTGGTTTTAGGATGAAACCCAACTAAAGGTCTACCTAGGCTCACTGATGGAGATAAGGATGTTTAGAATCTTTAATTATTATTATTATTATTATTATTATTATTATTATTATTATTATTATTATAGATTTGTTAGGAAACTTATTATTTATCACTTTGTTAGGATTCTTGCCTTGTTAGACAAGTTAGTATTGTTAGGATTCTTGTCTTGTTGGACAAGTTAGTATTAGGGTTGTAGGAGCCTTATTTAAGGGACTCCTCATCTATTGTTTTATGCAGTTGATTTGAATAAAAATATGAATTGATTGTGAGTTCTATCGAGAGAGTATCTCGTTTACTCGTATCCTTTTCCCTTTCGTTTACTTTTCCCTACATCACTCACTCTACTTTGGTGAGCCACAGACCCTTCAATCCCCGTTTCTTCATGGTATCACAGTCGGTTCTACGTGGGACTGTGCGATGACGTACCCGTTTGCCCAGCCTGTTTCTAGTAGAGCTTGGGCACCCGACTCCGTATATGGGCTTGAGCTTCTTATGAAAGACTCACAAGTGAGGGAGCGTATTAGACTATTCACTTGTGACTAGTATAGGCCTAATTTATAAGTCTAATGAATTACTCATCCTTTCGTCTAATTGGTTACTCCTTTCACAAGATGGTTTTGAGAAGAAACTTCACTTGGATTTCATTTGGGTTTTCCCTGTTTATGCCCCCGTTTCTTACACTGGAACATAATTTTATTTTTCAATACTTATATCATGAACAAGCAAAATTGAAATCAATGTGTGCCGTGTTTTCTTGAAAAGGGAAAATAAATTTTCACGTGTGAACATTGTGTTTGATTATAAATACGAGTTGTTTAACAAGACAATACGTTAGTAATTTCGATTCAGCTCCTTTAAAGTTACTTTGTTAACAATTTCGAGCTTGCATATCAAGAGATCGAGATCGAACTCGACTCAGATAATATTCAAAAGTCAAATTAAGGGACTTAGAAAAATTTCTAGAAGTGTATTTTGCCATCTCCTTCCAAATAAGAGTTTTTTGGTATGAAAATGAGGAATGGTCAAATTGACTATTGCTGGGTGGGTAGGGTCACGCTGCCAATTCGGACCCTTGGAAGCTTCTTTCACAATTCCGGATAATATCCTTGCCGGGTCGGGTTATAAATTCAAGTATATCTTTCAAACATACAAAAATATGTTAAATATGTGTTTTTTTTACTAATAATTGTTGCTGAAGATTATGTTTCATTTAATCTAAGCAATTAATAATGATGCTCAATCTCGAAGTATCAGCCATACATTTATAACAAAGTACAATATTCTTATTCCAAGCCACAAAATATATCCAAGCAATTTAAAATAATAATAATTTGAGAAATGCTTGGCCATAGCAAATGAATTTAATACGTGTAACTTAATTCATACTCTACAAGTCATAGGTTGGCCAAGCTATGAGGAAAAAAAGGAAAATAGAAGAAAAATAAAATAAAAGACAATACATATTATAAATAAGTCGTTCCTGAGCTCGACTCAACTAGTCATCGAGCTCGTTTGACAAACGAGTTGGGTCAAGTTAGAAAATATAATTTTTTATGCCGCTCAATAAATTAATTACTCGAATTTTCAGCTCCGAGTGCTTTATAAGTTTTACACAATATAGTAAATGAAATATCAAATAATTTACATGACTAACTAAAGATTGGTTTGGTAAACTGACCTAATTACGAGTGCTTAAATAAATAAAACATTCAAATAATTGTGGGACAGGACACAACATGCCAAATATTTCGTTAGTTATTTGATTTTTGAATAATTACTAGTGTTTATTTTTTAACCAAAAAGATTAATTATAATATATGATTAATTACTTAGAAAGTTAATGATGGCACGTGGACCTAGCTGGTTGGTCATTATACAGAGTTTGAGCTGTGTCATGCCATGTTTTTTTAATAATTGTGGTGTTATTATATAGTAGAAATTACAAGAACCAAATTATTCGCAAATATAATTTAATTTGGCTCGTGAAAGTTTATTTTCCAAGTCTTTTATTTATTCAATAAAATCGAACGACGAACTGTAAATCGAATTTGATGTTTTATTAAAATAAAAATATAACCCTTAAAAATATAATATAAAATTGGCAATGAAATAATTATTTATTGAAACCTTTTTTTTCTAATAACGGATTTGATATGCCAATTATATACTCAATCAACAGTATTAATGTAGGTGGATATTGCAAATTAAAGTTGTATTTAAATGGAGTAATTAATTATTGCAAGTGAAAACATAAAAAAAAAGTAACATTGATATCAGGTTAAAATTAGACACATGCAGCAGTGTTAAAACTATTGAGGGATAGCTTTGCCGCCCTTGTGGTCCTACACTGCTCGATTCCGGATTAGTCGGTTCCCCTGTGGATCCGAAAACCGGAAGGTCCCTGTACCAAAAAAAAAAAAAATAGACACATGCATGGCTGTGTAACCAAAGCTGATGCTGCAACTTAGGTTAAAATAATTAAAATCCTTTCATTGAAGTGAAACTGTAATGCTTAATTAGTTGCTACAATGATATTTTTGGAACATTAATAACAAATTTGAAATAATGTCGTCAGTAAATATGCACATAATCTAATTCGAAAATACATAATCTCATATTTATGATTTATTCCCATTGCTCACACATGAGCTAATTCTTTTGAAATATTAACGCTTATTCTTAAATATAATTTGAATAAATTAGGACATCATTCTTTTTTTTTTTCAATACAAAAGAGGAGACCAGGGGCCTAGGAAGAGTATGAGGCCAGGACTCGTCGGGGATAAGACACCATGGTAAGATCATGGTCTAGCCATGCTCCCAGTCCTATAGGAGGTGAAGCCATGCGATGCACCTCAATCGTAGACGAAGACACCAAGCTCGCCATATTGTCGGCCGCACAATTAGCTTTCCTATGTACGTGTTGGATCCTTACTCGCCAGTCTATTGCAACCAAGCTGCGAATGGCTTGGACCAATGCATCATTAGTTCCAAATCTATCGCCGTGTCACGCATAGACTATCCACCTCGGCGATGACTTGGTGGAATTCCGAGTCCCAAGCCAATTGTAATCTTTGAAAAAGACCCCAAAACTCGGCGCCCATGATGGTAGTATATATATGAATATCCAATGTTCATGAAGAATCCCTCAATCCATCGACCCGAAGCAAACCGCCAACGCTACTTAATCAATCTAATATACACTCCATTTTTCATACTCACACTATAATTTTACAACATAATTATAAGATATGATATGATATTTTAGTTTATAATATTCTTTTTGAGTGTGACATTTCAATTTAAAAGTATAGACGTTATTGAAAAATGTGATTATTTAACCTTTAAACATGCTAAATAGTTAGAATGTTGTTAGGCAAATGTGATTATTTAACCGAAAAATGTGATTATTTAACCTTTAAACATGCTAAGTAGTTACACGTTATTGAAAAATGTGATTATTTACACGTTTTAAAATATTGAAAGTGCTGATGAACAAATATAAGTAGTTAGAATGTTGTTAGGCAAATCTACTTGTAGATATTTTTCTATCATATAGATACATATTTCAAAATTGAACTGATATAACTCAAAAACCAACTAAAAATAAATATATTAACATTTCATAATAATAATATATATGTATGCATTAAAATAAAATGATGACTGACCCGATTAGTAGGTCTTTTTTATAAATTATACTACATTTCATAATAAAATAGAATTAAAGACGCTCTCCACCTTTTAAAAAAATGTTATTCTTATTTTAACTTATCCTGTCATTATTCCGTTTTTACTCCTTTTTGTTCCCGTAATGATTTTCTAATTGTCATATTTAAAATCAAATAATTATTTATTGCTAAGAGCGGTTTTAGAGTAATGGTGCGGTTATGTTTATCTTTCTTATTCTTATTTTTCACAATTGTATGCCTTCTTCTTCCCATTGTTCTTTTTCTCCTGTTTCTTCCATTGATTTACATTTTTATTTTTTACTTCGTGTAATTATCAATAAGAGAAAGACACATTCTAGAACCCAATCACAGCCTCTTCATCCTTACTCGGATAAGGACGTCAATTGTCGATTCTTTAATTCAAGTCGTCACTGCCCTAATTCATTAATTGATTTCAAGAGGCGTGTTGGTGACGACCAAAGCAAAAGTTCTTATGTGGAAGCACTTTTCCGACTTGGGCTCAGAAGATTCATAAATCTTAATATACGAGAGCAACCTGCCTCGGATTTTTTGAATCGCCGGATAGAGAGGGTTTCAATGTGGTGGCGACATTTTAAGGTATGCTTATTTTTTAAGTTTCCTAATAAAACTTATGCTATCTTAATTCTTTTTTTGAAGTAATTCTTTTAAGTTCGCAACATTTATTTTTTTCTCATTTTTTTTTTAGTTGATGGTTTTTGGATAATAGCAAGTCAGAAGCTCTTTTGGCACAAATCATTTTTGATGGTTTCTCAATTCTTCTCAACTAATATTTTTTTTTTCAATTTTTGATTTATTTGATGGTTTATAATAAACAGGAAGTTATAAGCTTTGTTGCACACAAGTGGTTTTGATTGAACTTCTATTTATTCCTTCTTGTTTTCATGTTATTTGATAGATAATTTTCTTATTTTTATCTTGTTGCTTTTATATTGTTCGCCTCAATACCCTTGGGTTATGTTGTTGACAATATTGTTTTACCACTTGGGTTAATTTTAAATGACACATTTTATTAATTGCAGACTAGATAGTTGTTTTCATATTGCTTTTCATGTGTTTTATTGTTGTTTTCTTATTACTTTTTTGTTTTCGTAATATAAATTATTAATCTTTCAATTTATAATAACAAACATTTTATTGTTTTTTAGTTAATTTAATTTAATTGTCATGTATGTATATATAACCAATTGATCAATTTTTTACTTATATTATTTTTTTTGGTTGTTTTTTCTTTAAGCTTTCATGTTTGGAAGACAAAGAAGAAGAACAAATATTTTGAAGAAGAAGAACATGAAAAGAAAAGGGGAGGAAGAGAAGAGAAAAGAAGAAAAAAAAATGACGTGGGAAGATAATGAAGAGAGAGCAGGAAGAAGAGAGAGAGAGAGAGAGAGAGAGAGAGTAAAGATAAAAGAAAATAAATAATGATTTTTAATTAGGTAGTTTTATTTATTTATTTATTGTTTATGAGGTAGTTATATAAAGTCCTGTTTTGGATGTGAATAGGAGTATATATGGAAATATATGTGACGAGATTATTAATAGAATCTTTGTGTTTAGACGGGTTAGTTATGTCTTTTTCCCAATAAAATACTACATTTATCCAATGGACCCCATGGGCCCGATTCAGATTGCCATACGTGCTTCGACCCGGCCAGCGCATTGACCAATTTTACCATCCAAGTCATTATCTGTGATTAATCAATTATTGGCTAATTGTATTTAAAATTCTCGTGTAACTGTAAATAAAATTCAATTTTTTATTTTTGCAAATAAATATTAAGTTTTTATTCTCAAAACATTTTTTGGGCAATCCTTTTTGACGTGTCTGATAAAAAATCTTATGTGACACTTATGAGGCTTGCGTGACATCAATCTTTAAAACTACTCACCATGTTTTTGCCCGTTGCCACATAATATGCCGATAAATTAAGCAAAATTAGACTTTAGTACCAATTGATAAAATAGGATTCTATCACCATATTTTTGGCTCCATATCTTCATAAAAATCGAGTTCTTCTTCTCCAATTGAATAAAAATAAAAAATTGCAGCGATTCTTCTCTTCTCATGGCGTGATTCTTCACCCCAAAAACTAAGTTCACCCTCAACATTCCGAATACATTTATAAGCTCACCCCCAAATTCTGAAAAATTGGACAGAAAAAGCTATTTTCGAGTGATTTTTAGGCTATTTTAGTGTTTTGGTCGGCCACGCCAGCAAGAATAGCTGAAAAATGGTTTTGAAACAAATTTACAACACATAATAAAAATTTGGTATTTATTTGCAAAAATAAAAAAGTTGAGTTTTATTTGCAATTACACAAAAAGTGAAGATTTTACGTGCAATTACGCCTTAATTATTTAATCAGATTTTCTATTTTGTTCTAGAAAGAGAAAAAAGAAAGTATTTACAAATTTGATTTTCTTGCATAATAAATCAATATTTGTCCCTTTAAAATCATTTTTTTTTTGGTTACTTTTTTCCATTCCCTTTCTCAACTGACTCTCCGTGTTGAACTCGCGTTTTTAGCAGACGCAGGAGACAAATTGGTGCAAAAAAAAACTCACATAAATTTAGTGTGTGTGTGTGTGTGAGAGAGAGAGAGAGGGAGAAAGGTAGAGAGAAGAACAGGACAAAGAAAAGGAGAAAACAATATATTCAAACATAAACAGAGAAGCCCTTCATCATTTCTTGTTCAATCGTTTGAAATTTATTTAAAAAGGCGCTGCCTTTTGCTAAAAATCGATCGTTATCTTCTGGGTATCGCCGATTTTTGCAACTGGTGGTATCTATTTGATTTGTTCTTTCTTTTTTCCCCCCCATTTATTAGATCTCGAGTGGAATCGTTTGTCAAAAGGGGTGATTTTTTCTTGATTTAATTTAGAGGAAAAGAAAAAAGGGACTCTCTTCTGGTTTTGAAAGATGGTTTTCTGTGCAAGCAGTTTGGTTGTGGTGTGATATGGCGCTGTTGTTTGCATCGCATACATAGAAAATGTCGTTTTACATCGGTCGCGAGGCTTCCAAGGTTCGTCCTTTTTCTTGTTCTCGTTAAAAGTTTGGTTTTTTTGGTAGCCAACTACGGTATCCGGAGCTTTGCCCCGACTAATCCGTAGGTTGACCCTGGACCCACACCTGGCATTGGTGGGTGAGCATTTCAATAAGGGTTTTCTGTATTCACAAGGACTCGAACCCGAGACATTGCGGGCTCTTGCTTTTTTTCTGGGTTCCATTTTTTTGTCCATCCAAGCTCTTTCATTGATACCCTTTTTTTTTTTTTTTCAATTGAGAAGCTATGGAAGAGGTTTTGTGCAGAGATCACTACGGAAATCAACCTTCTTGCTGAGAAATGGAAGTATATTTTAGGGGGTCTGATTTGTCAGGTATGTTAAGGCAAGCTGTGATGGTGCCCTTTTGGTTTTGCTTGCAGTTTATAGTGATAATTGATAATCAAGGCATTTTTTCTTACTGTGGTATATACTTACAGGAGATTAGAAACATTGAATTTGTCAGAAGATTCTTGAATTCTGTCTATGTCATGTGTCTTTTCACCTCAAATGTTATTTCAAATGAAGCACATTATGTGTAAAGAAGTGATTTTTATATTTTTATTGTGAGATATATGGAGATTATTGAGCTAAAAATATATTGAAGTGTTGGTTTTCGTATGCCTGTGATTGCTTCTGCTTCATTTGCTTCTTGGTGTGATCTGATTATGAACTCTGGCCAAAAGGTGTTCTTTTTATATATATTTTTTTGCCCTTGTTGTTGTTGTTGTTGTTCTTTTTCCTTTTGGTGGGAGGGAATTGAGTTGTGGTGATAGTTGGATTGTGGGAGTAGAAAGCACTCATAGAGTTTATCTACCTTTTCTGATTAAAGAAAAATTCAAAAATTGTGTGTGTGTGTGTGTGTGAAATTTGGATTATAACATCGACAGCTAGTATGGTTTACTGCTGCATTAAGGAAGTTTATTGTTTTTCTAAAAAGGGTGTTACTATTAGCTGGTTATCATTATTTCGATTTTCGATCACTATAATTTTGATTGCTACCCCTTTCGAGCCGGTAATAACTTGACCTTGTAAAGAAACTTTTGATTATTAATGTTGCCTTGTACATAATCCTTGTTATAAGTAAGTAGTTCGCCGTTGATTATTATCTAATGACTCTTTTTTTTTTTTCACTTCTCCTTTTGGGTGTTCAATTTCAATACTCTGATTCGTAAAATCTTTCTATATTTCTTTTTATTATCAGTATATTCATGGGCTAGCAGCTCGGGGAGTTCATTATTTCCATCGGCCAGGACCAACACTTCAGGATGTTGGCTTCTTTCTTCTCCCGGTAACTGCAAAACAAGCTTCTTTTTTATTTTATTTTTTTTTAAAATTTTGTATCTTTAAGTCGAGTAATATACCGAGACTTATTTTGCGAAAAAATCTTGTTGGAAACTGTAGGAACTCGGGCAAGACAGAGCTTACATTAGCGAAACAGTGTTCACCTTTGTTTTTCTCTCTTTCGTCTTGGTGAGTTTTTTCGCTGTTCAGTTTCATTTCTGTTTTTTTTTTCTTTAATTTATCTCGATATGTCCTAAAATATTGCGATGCTTTTACATGGCAGTGGACTTTCCATCCTTTCATATTGAAGAACAAGAAGATTTACACAGTCCTTATTTGGTGCAGGGTCTTAGCATTCTTAGTTGTAAGTTTATTTTTATATTTTTTTATTTTTTTCATTTTTGAAAATAATATGCACAATTTACTTACTGTGCAGGCTTGTCAGTTTCTTCGGATCATAACTTTCTACTCTACTCAGCTTCCCGGTCCTAACTACCATTGCCGAGAGGTATTTTTTATTTTTTATTTAGTTTCCTATTTTCTATTCTTTTATATTTGCAAACTAGTTTATATCATTCGTTTTTTTCCCTTTCTGCATGATATGTAGGGATCAAAACTTGCCCGATTGCCTCCTCCGGAAAGTATTTTTGAAGTCCTATTAATAGGTTACAATTATTCTCTTTGCTCGATTTACACATACTATTATATAATTCTATCGAATTCCTTATATATTATTCTTTAATGCCGTGCAGTTCCTAAAGGCGTGCTTTATGGCTGTGGGGACTTAATATTTTCCTCTCACATGATATTTTCTCTAGTCTTTGTGCGTACGTATCATAAATACGGCACTCGAAGGTAATAAATAAATATCCTAAACTTCAATGGCCATATTTTTGCATCCATTTTTTTTTTTTTTTTTAAATTCTAAGTTCTAACTGATAATTTGTGACCTGGCGTGCCAGTTTTGTGAAGCAGGTTGCATGGCTAATTGTTATAATCCAAAGCTTGTTGATTGTGGCATCACGAAAGCACTACACAGTCGATGTTATCGTGGCATGGTAAATAAATAAATTATGCAAATATATATTTTTTACCTAATAAAGAACAACTTTAAGCCAAAACAAAATTGGAAAAAATCTGATGTAAGTTTCTTTTTTCCCTCACAGGTACACTGTTAATTTGGTTGTGTTCTTTATCGACAAAAAGTTGCCAGGTTGGCACTGCTTCAATTCTCCATGCATTTTTTTTAATCTAATTCGTCGGTTATTAGTTACGAGACTGATCAACTGAAATGCTTATACATATATATATATACAGAACTTCCGGATCGTTCTAGTGGCGCTGTATTCCTTCCATTGACAAAGGATAACCGGATTAATAAGGAGGAGAATCACAAGCTGCTTAATGGAAATTCTGGAGATTCAGCTGATTGGGTATGAAATGAAATTAGCCTCTTTTCGAATCTACCCTCGATATTACCCTAATTACAAAAGAAACCCGATTTTTGTTTTTTTCACAAGTTACGCCTCCAATAGGGCGAGGTTTTTGCAGCTACGCTCAATTGACCTCAATGGCAATTTATCTTTTTTTTTTGTTCCATTTTTGTTTTTTTTTTAAAGAAAAATGCAAAACGAAACAATGAGTTTGTTCGGTTGTCTAATAATCGTACATTTGTCGACTTTTAGCAGAGGCCGAGGACTCAAGTGAATGGCAAGATTATGGAAGAAGGAAATGTTGTGCATGTTGAAGCAGTTATTAACAGTGTCTAGTTGAAGAACTTTGATTCACAAAAATATTGCCCAAGATTTTTTTTTTTTTAATTAGACAAAACATGTAATTTAGGGCTTGGAATCCTGTTTATGTTTTTCTTTTCCTTTTTTTTTTTTAAGTTTTTTTTTGTGGATTAGCAATGTGTATTCATCTTGCTATAAAGACCATATGGTGCATTATGGAATCAAATATTGTTCTAATTCCAATTAATCTTCTGTATATTTATTTATTTTTTTGAAAAAAATTTATGCACTTGTATTTCTTGTTTATTTATTTATTTATTTTTGCTAATGTCTATATACTTTGTCACATGCTTGGTCAAACAATATTTTGACCAAATGTATCAAATGACCTATGTTTGAAAATCAAGCCATTTACTAGGTGGGCTAGATAGATCTCATGGTATCTTGAATCACATGCATTCTAATTTGAAAATTGAAGACAAAAATGGCCTCTCCATGTGCTAAACAACTCCAATGGACCATATCTCTTGAATTATTATTAGTCTTCATGTTAGATGTTGATTTTTTTTTTTTTTTTTTAGAATATATAAACTAAATATTCTTTCATGATCTCCCAATTAAAATTGGGAATTTGTTAATTTGGATAAAATGTAAGCTGTAAACCTAATTGGATGCTATTGTTCTCCTAAAATACCACAATAATATACCTATTTAGGCATATGAGACTTGAGAGTGTTTGTGAAAAACAGAATAAATGTGTATAATTTAACAAATTGTTATTATTATGTTGGTTGCACCATAGGACAAAATGATGAGACAGCAGCAGCTGATGAATGTCAGATAAAATCACAAAACAGAAAATTTGTCCATGCAGATTGAATATTTTTATTTTATTTGTAGGAAAAAAGAAAAAAAAAAATTGTGGAATAAACAAATCCAATGCCTGATGGAGTACAATGTTTTTTTCTTTAACTTATTATTGTTTAAATATTTAAGTTTGACAATTCAAACTTTTGTTCCTGATTAAACAAGGGTGTTACTATTCACCGCCTATGTATAGTCTCCTCCTGAACTATACTGTTTCTGTCATTCTTTTAAGAAAAACTCAAAAAATCCAAAAAATTGTAAAATTCTCTGAAACCAGACAATTTCTAGCGAGGAAATGTTGTCCGACGAGATGCGTTTTTTGGCCGGTCGAGCTCGGTCGCGGCCGGCCGACTATGTAGGCCGTGGCCATTGGCTGTCGAAATCTGCGGGCCCATGACCATGGTCGGCCTACACAGCCGGCCACCCGCGACCGAGCTCAGTCGAAATCTCCGGTCGGTCAGCATTGGTCCGCCCGGCATAGGCCTTTTTTTTATTAGTTAATTTTATTTGTGAAATAAATTGTGTTAGTAGAAATTATTATGTTATAAATTATACTTTATTATTTTATAGATTAGAATTTATTACTATTATGTTAAAACTTAGAAATTGTTATGTTATAAATTAGAATAGATTATCTTATAAATTAAATTAGAATTTATTACTATTATGTTAGATTTAGAAATTATTGTGTTATAAGTTAGTATTGATTATCTTATAAATTAAAAATTTATTATTGTTATATTATAACATAGAAATTATTATCTTATAAATTAAAATTTATATTATTATGTTAAAACTTAGAAATTATTGTGTTATAAATTATAATTGATTATCTTATAAATTAGAATCTAATATATTAGAATTTATTACTATTATATATATTATGTTAGAACTTACAAATTATTGTGTTATAAATTAAAATAAATTACTATTATGTTAGAACTTAGAATTTATTATATTACAAGTTAGAGTTGATTATCTTATATATTAGAGTTTCTTATTATTATGTTAGAATTCAAATACTATTATGTTATAAGTTCGAACTGTGGGGTTGATGTATGAAGCTTCATACCATAAATCATAATCATCATTTTGCCCAAAGAATTGTTTCGCGCGCTCAGACACAGTTCATCTATGTTTTTAATCAAAAAAATACAACTTCAGATATATCCAAGATCTCCTCGATTTCGACTTCCTTGGCTTGATATTCCTCTTCTTGGTCGCTATCTTCCCCATCATCCAACTAGTCTTGTTCGTGCAGGCGCTTCCACTCACCGACCAACCTCTCTCCCACTCTTCCTTGAGACTCCTCCTCTTCTCACGGTCCTGCTCGCTCAAAAGCATCGACACGTCTTGGTCCTTGGCTTCATACTTTTTGCTGTATATCTTCAAGTTTTTGGCTATCTCATCTTCCTTGTCTGGGCTCAACAATGTTGGGGGTCTTGGACGCCACAAGAACTGAGAAAATCATATCACATATATATATGTAGAGAACATTAGCGGGGCACAATATTATACCAATCAAATTAGTACTATTATGTTGATAGCCGTTCAGATATACAACTCACTTGGTAAAAATGATCCTTGAGTATTCTGCAGATCAATTGTCCACTAAAGGACCACACATTGAACCCATTCGCCATCTCATGAAAAGCTCCACTACTTCAATGGGTATGTCCCGTTCTTTGATACTGTGTGAAAAGCTCAAACCCGGTATATGTGCTCTTCCTAGTTGCACTTTCTTTTTGAGCTCACCCTTGCAGGTTGATTTCCTCCACCCCGTTCAGGGACAAAGAGCGTCAAGAATGGGATCAGTAGGTGACCAGCTGAAGTCTGTTACATTTTCAACCTTTATAGATTTCTTGTCGTGAACGTTTCGGTTTCATACACAGAGACAACATTTTTTCCAATTCTGGCAAAGTACGTATCATTTTTTCCACCACCCCATCTGGAAATAAAAAGTTCTCAATCCATCAAAGAGGATCAAAATCTGATTAAAGGGCCATCATTACATGACTGTACATCAAGCGAAAAGAAAAGTCATGGAATAAAATCAAATTGTATATCACCTGAAGACGGGCCATGACACGCCACTTACACCTCCGGTTCCAACGGAAAATTCATCTGCCGTCCCTTTGAAATCCCTCATAACTTTTCCAGTTCTCAATTCAAATATTTTTATCATAACGTTCTGAGAAGAAAATCTATTTTAATGAGAAAAATAAAAGTAGCACTCTATAACAATAATATTCAAAGAAAGATTGCTTGGCTCATGGCTGCTATAGGTCACCAAAAATCTCTTGCCAGGTGAAAAATCAATCAGTTTAACCTGCAATGCAAACCAAATCAGTAAAAAAAGAACTACAATAGAAGTGAAGCCGTATGAAACACCCGAGGCCAATAACAACCTGGGGATGAGCATATCGCACCAGACGATTAAAAGTAGTTGCACCACCCCAAATAGCAGCACCTTGCCTGTGCACTGTGGCCAAATATATGTACCTAATGCAAGCACTAAAATTTCATGCTTGGAGCCACATAAGAATTCAAATTCACACTTACAGTACTTCTGTACACTTACAATTTAACAGCAAGTATGTGGGATCTATCCAACTTGTACACTAGAATTGATGTTGTACTAGTAAATATCTTCAATGTAACAAAATCACACAAAATTAAGGGGATATTATGAATCACACAATAACATATCATAGTTAAAGGAATGAGATTGAATCTCAACCATGACAATTGAAATCTTTATATTGTGCTTATATTTTTGAATGTTTTTAACAACATTATTGTACTTGTTCATGTTTGGGAATCATAATTTACCTTATAAGCTTTTTTTTTTATTTAAATAAGTTTGATTTAGTATAATGAGTTTTAAGTTAGAGCTTATCTCATGAATTTCTCTAGGCAACTTAATAAAAAATTCATTGAATAATTTATTTAAGCTGATTTATCAGCTAATTTAGCAAATACTAATATTATATCAGCTAAAAAGCTAGCTTTAATTATTTAATGTGTACATTTATTAAAATTATTATACATTTTTTTAACTTATTCTCATTTAGAAATATATATTTTCATTTCTCAATATTGGAACTAAATGGGTTGTACAAAAAAAAGCTTTGTTGTTGTTTGTTAATTGTTAGCCCCATGTGACATCCCTTTCATGTGTATCTTTGTTGATACTTTAGGGCAGCAATGTGTCCCCTTTACTCATTCATCTCAACATATCCCAAACAAAACTTAAAATAATAAAACAAAAAAGGAAAATAAATAAATAAATAAATAAATAAATAAAATCATGCTAAGATAAGGGCACATATATATTGCCCCACTTGTGACAATCATCACACCATACATATCTACACACTCTTACCGCGATTTATGCATCCAAAATCCAATAAAATTACAGTCAACAAGAGGCCCAAATAAATTATAAAAAAAAAAGTTGGACAATATTTCAAATATGATGCTTATGGGTTTGAGAAAGAAAGGGTGTATGTATCTTAATTGGGATATTTTGTCTCTCAAAATGCCACCTTTTGCATACTCATAGTCATAGTAGATCAATTTTGTAAGTGTGGCATATATTTTGTACTATGTTTTAAGGATTTAATCATCAAAACACACACAAAAGTTACAAAAACCACTTCCACTATGTACTTTTATATGAAATTAAGAGCTATTTTTGAGCAAATTTGAGAGCTTGAGTTTCTAACTCGAGCATTAACTACATGTTTCGTTTGAAATGTTACAAAGTGAATAGTGCTTTCATTTTCAGGCAACTTTTCGATGAAATAAGTTCCACGTGATGAATTGATGAGAAGCTGATATACCAGTAATGAGACTTAAAAGTTTCAATTTGAGGTATTCGTGATATAGTAAAAATAAAATAAAATTTTACCATATTTTACTGAATAAGTTAACTATATGGAGTAGGTGGAGCCCTTTTAGTCCCAAAAATGGGTGGTACAAATAATTAGTCCATCTAGCATAGCATACAATGACTTGCCCTACATGCCCTTGTGGAGGGTTTATGAATGTGATCACCCAATTTTTGGGACCATTTCTAGCAATATATCCACCCATTTTTACTCATCAAAATATCCACATTTTCCCCATAATTTAGCAATTCCCAGGCCTTATTTCATTTCATATTGATGACAATCAAATGTGGTATGTGAAATTGAACTATATTTTTGTGGATTCTATTTTATTTTCTTGGTGGGTAGATGTGAAAGTAAATATCAAATTAAAGACTCGACCTTAGAAGTGGACACTGCTTTTACGAGATTTTAGCCACTAGATTACACATAACGTAATCACACACTTATCTTTGTGAGCTTGAGTTGATCTAACATCTAAAACCCTCACGAGAGCACAGTGGTAGAATAAAGTTCATTGTAAATGACACTCATGTTACTTAATTAGTAATGAAATTATATGGCGATATTAAATGTTCACACACACACAGACATACACACACACACTCAATTCAAATCAAAATTTAAAAATTTATTTATTTTAAGCAAAAAAATAAATAAATAAATAAATAAAATGGAAGAAGAAGAAGAAGGAATGATAGAAAGGATAAAACAACAAAAAATGAAATTAAAATATGTGCAAGAAATCCTAACATGTGGATTGTGGAGCAAGGGTTGCACTACCATGTGAAGTGCTGGACATTCAAACAAAACAAATAAATAAAGAAACAAAATGAATAATAATAATAATAATAATAATAATAATAATAATAATAATAATAATAATAATAATAATAATTTGTGTATCACATTTTGATTTTTGAAATAAAAATATATTGTGGGCAACAATTGCTATAAGATATAAATATGAATCAATCCATGCATGTTGGTCAACATTATGATCCACGCTATAAAATCCAATAGGGCTACTTTGGTCACATGAACATGCATGGATTCATGATTAGCAATGTCTATATATATAAAAATTATTTCAAATTTATAACATAAATAAGATGGAGATAATTGTAAATTTCAAAAGTAATCCTTCACTCTAGGATTATTGGTTTAAAAAGCAATATCATTGGAATTCATTTTGATCTACTTTAAATTAACAAATTTCAATAGTAAGTAGCCCTCCCAATTTTTACATTGATCCAATTCGAGAATATTTTTTTTGCCAAATAATACAACTTCAACTAATAACTATTTGTAAATCTAACAAAATTTAAGATAATTTTGGCCTTAAATTTTAATTTCAACCAGAAAGTAATAAAACATGGGCTTAATGATGTGTCAATTTCCGATAGAAATCATGCCAACCTCTCCCATTAAATTATTTTAGCTTATTATTCATAATAATTTCCAGCCAAAATTGCACTCAAATTGGTCAATTCTGAAACTTTACATTATGAATTCGAATTTTTGGCAAAAATCAAATTGATTACTTTTAGTTATTAGAGTCACTACAAAAAAATCGTTATATTTCAACGGAAAATCTTATGGTAATATATACCAATAAATTTCAACAGATATTCTAATGGTATAACTTCCGTTGGAATCGTTATAACGAAAATATTCATTTGAAATGTATTTTTCATTGGAATTTGACGATTCAAACGGCTTTTGACCTTAAGAATTTTCGTTGGAATTTTTATTTCCACCATCGTTGGAATCGTCAAAATCCAACGGAAATTCCAATGGAAAACTTATTCCAACAGAATATTTTTGTTGGAATTTCCGTTGAAATCGTTCCAACGGAAATAATAACATTGAAATATCCATTGGAATTGCCATTGAAATTCTATTGAAATATATTTCCATTGGAATTTCCGTTGGAATATCCATTGGAATTTCCGTTGAAATCGTTCCAACGGAAATAATAACATTGAAATATCCATTGGAATTGCCATTGGAATTCTATTGAAATATATTTCCATTGGAATTTCATATTTTTTTTATGTAGTTAGTTAAATTGCAATAGAACTACTTTTTTTTTAACACAAGCGATACTATTTTTCAAATTTATTATACAATCATATTAGTAAAAAAATAAATAAAAAAATAGATGGTTTTTTTATTTCTTTTCTTTATGAAAGAGTGTAACTAATTTTGTACGTAATCAAATTCAAACCTCACGGTTTTTGATGATTTTGTAAATTTAATAAATCTTTAGATCTCATGTATAGGTAGTTGTTACATATATTGTATATAATTTTAAAAATATCTCTTGACAAATTTGCAATACAATGCGTGCATTTATATGGTCTTGTTCAAAACTTAGAGCCACAAAAAAAAAATAAAAAAATAAAAATTACTATTAGAGCTTGCATTGGTCCTCGTACATTAATACTATCTCCTGTTCATTATAAATGTCATTTTGACTTTTTTGATTCATATGTCTAGATACATAACAAAATGGATGAATCAAAAAAGTCAAAACAACATTTATAATGAATAGGAGGGAGTATAAAAAAATAATGACTCAGACCAATAATCTAATGCAAAAATAATAATAATAATAATAACAATAATAATAATAATAATAATAATAATAATAAAATGAAAAGGACAGTAGATTAAGAACAATTCTAAGACAAATTTGTACCCAAAAAAAAAAAAAATTCTAAGACAAATGAATTTTTATTTGGTGATAAACGAGACTTAGTTAACGAATATTTTATTTTTTAATTAAATAAATTAAAAAGCAGATCTCGTGAAAGCATTGATTAAATAATTATTAATTACTCATTAATTAACAAAGAAAAGGACGAACAAGAGGAATTTAAGGATTATGTCATGTACATGTGTGATGAGTGGATATTTGTTTTGACTTTTGAGTTTTGAACGTTGACCGCGTGATTACTGAAAATGACTCTTCCTTTCAACGTCTCTTAACCGTTAGTATATATTTAACGAAAAATGCTACAGTCTTGTTACAGAACTATTTTATCGAGATTTGTGACCGTTAAATATCTTCGTGTAACCGTCGTGTATAGTTAATCTAATGAACTCAGAACCGTAGCACATTTTGTTCGTCTTATTATGGATTTCAAAAGCCCTTAATCAATTTCAAATGTCAGATTTCAAACTTTTTATATCATTTCAGAATACGGTATTTGAGTAGATATATTGTCGATTTCGTATATTTTCAGAATAAAAATATGTCAGCGTTACAACTTTTACGAAGACAAACATGATAGAAAATCGAATACTTTTTTCGACACAAAAACAAACACCTAATATCAACTAGGTTGAAACAAAGTCCAGAATTCGAGTTTGTCAAAATCAGAAAAAGAATCTGTAAAACCCTAATCAGTTTCACATTTCTAATCTAAGAATATAAAATAGTAGTTGAAGCTCATATGAGTGACACACTGGCAAAGAAAAATGGTCGAAGTTCTTACATTCAGAGATTCTTAAATCTTAACAAGTATTAACTGAAAAGACTAAACACAAACAGGTTTACAAAAACTAAGGAAAAAAAAAAAAGGTAAAATGCACCAAACCCCCTATAATATATTAAATCTGCGCATTATCCCCCTCTATTTTAATAAATTCGTCAAACCCCCTTTTATTGTAGTTTGGCTAGCACACCACCCCTGTCATCTTAAACGGTTTAGGGTGTTTCGCGCAAGTCAAACTACAATAGAAGAGGGTTTGACGCATTTTTTAAAATAGAGGGGGATAATGCGCAAATTTAGTATATTACAAGGGGTTTGGTGCAATTTATCCAAAANAAAAAAAAAAACATAATTAGTAAAAAAAGAAAAGGGAAAAGCCAACTAAGGTGAGTAAGGCCACGAGACACAAAATGATGCACAAAAAAAGAATGATGAGTAGGAAGTTGAAAGGCAGCATAAAGCTCCAACAATCTGCTAATAAAAGATACTTAAAAAAGTTTTCTTTTTTGCAAAACACACACACACACACACCAACCCCATGATACCCTTTTGTGATGTTATATATATATACATACTGCATGTTCTTGAAATGTGAAAAGCCCAGAACCTTTTTTTTTTTTTTT